TTTTTTTTTTTTTTTTTTTGTTTTGTGAAATTATTTCCTGTCTTCTTTTAATGCAATGTACACTGTATTCAGTGTTGAAGCTGAAAAATTTGACTGGAAATATCAGCTAACATTACTGGTAATCCTTGTTACGGTTGTTATTGAAGTCGACTGCAGTAGTAACAGTAAAAATTCTGTGCCATTGGATGTTGTATTACAAGATTTGGATGATACAACGGGCTGCAATCGAACTGTGGCAATGCCAAATGTTCATCGTCTAATTGATGGAACCCTTCAAACACGGAATGATTGGCCTAATTTTTTAGAAGTAGCTAAAATTTTATCTGATCAAACTGATTTGAATGTTACACTAAGAAAGATAACAAATTGGCGTGATAAAGCTGTACTACTGTATAAACCGAACTATTTACCAAATATGTCTGAACCAAAATTTTTTCTACAATTATACTGTACGACAAATTCAACAACCTGGATACCGGTGTTGGCATTTCCAACAAAAAAGCCTGATTTCTTTTTACTGTTGAAGCCAACACTGACAAATTTAGATGTCTGTGATTATAGTCAATGTAAAGCTTCAAAGGTAAGTGCCTATGTTGTTTCTATAATTTTGATCAGCCTTAGTCAAATAGTTGGTTATTGGGCTGCAATTGATTTGTTCATAGTTTAAATGACGATGATTATTGATACTGTTAGTTGTTCTTGTTTTTTGCTTTTTTTTGTTTTTTGTCTCTTATCTAAAAAGCAAAAAAACTTTAGTTTTGGTTTTTTGGCTTTTTAAAATTATTGCCTAATTTTTTTTTTTTTTTCTAGCTATTTATTCATTATTCGCTTTTACTTTATTCACTTATTGTTTATGACACTTTTTTTTTTCATCTCCAACTTACTTTGTCATCGGTATATTACTGTTCTGCTGTACTTTAAACTGCTGTTCTGTTGTACTTTTCTTTTTAAATTTTTAAAAGTAAGCGGTAGAGGAAAATAAAGTTGTTGTTTTGAGTAGAAGAAGAAAAAAAAAA